TTTTCCCTGCTGAATCTGGCCCCGTTTTGGAGCCTGCCTTTCCCTAACACCGACAAGCCTAAGAGGGTCACAGTCAACACCATACTGTAGAATAGTGGGGTCAGGCAAACTTTTCCAAAGGAATATCAAAGTCTAAGCAAGGCACTCAGCCACCCTTTTTTTTGGCACACCCACTTTCACGGGTTAACACAAGCTCCATTTATTTGAAGCTTTTCACAGGCTTTCATCGAATAATGAAGTTTCATGATTGATCCTGCAATATTTTTCCTAACGTAAAAGATTATTCTAATTTGGGTAACAGCATAAAACAAAGCAGAAGTGGAAGAATTTTAAATATACCATTATACCAAAAGGCAAACACCGAACAAAGCGTCAGAAGAGAGAAAACAGCAATGCGTAAACAAACAGCTTTGTGAAAGAGAGAATTTGTCCTCATCTCAGTTGAGGACAAAAAGCCTCATTGAAAATAAGCTTGTGAAGTCAAGTAAGAAAAATTAGGGAACTTCAGAAGTACGGCTGCATTGACAGCTTAAAACGACTCTTGTCATGCAGATGCATGAACTTTAGCATATGAGCATTTGCTCTATTTCTCCCACAGGAATTGTGCCTCATGCAACGCAGGGCACAGCCTGGCTGCAGGGAGGGACCAGAGCTACACCATACAGGCACCTACTGTCTCCATCAGACCCATCTCATTTATAATTTGGGGGTGGTCGAGCGAGCGACAAGGGTTGGCATGAAGGGAACAGACACTCTCATGACCACTGAAGGAGGCCAGGAATGCTACTTGGAAGAGCTGGAACTTAAGTCTCTGGAAAAGGCAGGGATAAATTAAAAAGGTGATCACCCACTGGATCTAATCCTCATTATCTGAGCATTCAGCTGGAAACCTAGGAGCCTGATTTGCAGTGCTGCTCTGCTCATGTTTTATATCAACACACATATTCAAGTGCTCCAAAAAGAACCAAAACTTACGCAGCTCTAGTAGGCACTTGAAATTAGCAGGGACTCGACCTTATGCTTTAGTTTGCCTCACTTTCCTCTTGCTACAGTGGGATAACACCATCCAATCACCTTGCTGCAATGTGCTGAGGATAAATTGTTTCCAAGCTCTATATCACCAGAGAAAGGTTCACAGAAAAACTGTACTTTTGTCTTCAGGGAGTGCTTGAAATAGCACTGAGGCAATACAGCAGGAACAATGCATTCAACAATGAAGAGGGGAAAAAACCCGAATAGCTGTTCATTAGCAGCGGTGATGGCCAACTATGATCTCTCCCATGACACTATCTGTCCTGTGCAATGGATAAAGTGACATTTGGTGGTACAAGACAGTCTTTAATTCACATGACTCTACCATGCCATTATGCATTTTCACACTGAACCCGCACAGCATATCCTACAGACTCCTACTATTCAGCTTAACTGAAACAATGATAACAAGTACAGATTAAAACAGGGCTTGATGAGACCATGGTAAGCAGATAAGAAAAGCCTGAAAAAGCCCTCTGATTATCTGAAGATTGAACTAGAGCAACATTTGATGTATTATAGAAAGTCTGATAAAGAACATACGTTAATGCAAAAGCTAAAAAAAATTTCCTGGGCCAAACAGGCACCAAATATCAAAGGACCATAGCTGACGTGACGTGACATCAGGCCTAGTATTTAAAGATATTAAGAATTTCATTGCTGTTCTGCTTATTAACTGTTTTCTCTCAAGTGATCATTCAACTAATAAGAAAATAAAAGTGGCTTTGTTTTTATTTCTGGAATATTTTTAAACTGAGCGCATACTTGCTTCGTAAACAAAGGCAGACAAACACATTCCTGTGCTCCGCCAGCTGCTGAGCTTCCCCAGATTTTGGAGGTACACTGTGTAGATGAAAAATGGCAATATTTGCCAATCTCCTAAAACTCAACAGCAGAGAGTCATTCTCTAAGCAGAGTGGCACAAAAGGTGACTCAGTTTATCACTCCCATACAGCTGCTGTGTGACTCCAAGCACAGGGACATGTCCTACAGCTGGAAACACACTGCTTCCTCTCCAGGCTTTGAAGGGAAAACGGCAGCCCCAAACACTCTCCAGTAAAAGGATATGGAGCAACAGAAGAAAATATTGTATTTCTGGATGCCATGGCACTCATCACACAGCAGGTAGTATATATATGCTCACCTATGTCACCCAAAAGTTGGCTGAGATGAAGTAAACCAACACAGAGGTGAGCTGTGGTTGAGGTCTCCCTGCAGGTTATCAGGTATACCGGGCCACACATAAAGGGGAAAAAAGCAACTGCTTGTTCTGGCAGAACAGTAATTTCTCAACCTACTCCAGTTTAATGACAGGATTTCTGTGACTGATCTCAGCTCTGTTAGGATCAAGAGATGGAGGAGGAGAAGGAAAGAAGGTGATGACTTACTGGGAGCTGATTCTTCCCTTGTCTGCCTTCTCCTCCTCTCCAAGGTCGTTTCCTTCTACTCTTCTCTTGCCCTGCCCAGCTCTTTGCTCCTGCCCTATATCCCTTTGTTCCTCCAGTCCCTATACTCATTCCGCCCATTTCTCATCCAACTTTCAATCTTTTTTAACTTTGCGTTCACTGCCAGCATTTTGATTCCTCACTCCTGTGCTGACCCCTGCTCAGCCAGATGTGGGTCCCCCCTTCACACAGTCCCCCCTTCACACAGACTTCCTCCGACTCCATCAACTCCCACCTACTCTAGTCTTCCCACCACCTGAGAGTCCTCATCTCAGCCTTCATTTCATCTCTGCTCCAGGTTTTGTTCCCTCCAGGTTTACATTATTTTGTGGGAACAGTACATGCAGAGTCTTACCAGCGTTGGTGGTATGAAGCAAGCTCAACAGAATCATTTGCTTGGTTTTCATCATTTTTAGCAGATGAGATCTGAAAGTGAATGGTCTAGAATAGGGTGGAAACTCCAAGCCTGTTTTCTAAGGGTAGAAACCTCTTCCTCAGATTTCAAATTCCTTTCAGTTACTAAATATACCAATAAAATCAGCTGAAGTTCAGCCCAGACCTAAAGTCTGGCACTGTTACAAAGCAAGAGAAACAGGGTCTGATGAGATTTGACAGGTAGCTTTAATCAAAACTGTAATACCAACCTCACTTAGGACAAACACGTAAAGGAAAGAGCATAATGCCACCAAGTAAATACTTTCAGTAACTGCAGATTTAATTAAAAAATCAATGATTAAGTAGAAAAAAAAAAAGAATATTTATGCATTACTATTACTCACCATAGAACTATTCACTATAGTTTCACTTATTTTTAGCAAAAAATATCAGCTGATCAAGATTATAAAAAATGATCAGTCTGGCTTTCAGGTTTTATCAGATGATGACATGGATAATCAAGTCAAAATTAAGCCACAATCTATTTAGTTTCAGGACTAACAAATAAATTGTTGATGATGCTTTATGTTTAGCTGAGTTAGATCTGGGCATACCAAAATGTTATGCCCATTAAAGAGCTTATCCAAATGCCGAGAGGCAAGCATAATAATCCATCTCCCATCCATTATGAAAAACCAAGGAAAAAAATCCCAAACTCACCAAGGTTATCAGCAAAACATTCTCTTCTGCTACTGTCAAATAAAGTTAGTTTGACTCTGTACAGATGTTAAAACTTGATACTGGGGAAGGATTTTTAGCAAAACACATGCAAGACCATGAAAAAGTAGTCAATTTATCTGAGAAAATAAGTCAGGTATTTCAATTTACTGAGCACAATCAGGAAGCCTTTCATCTAGGTATCAGCTACAATGCAGGGAAGTGCTAAGCCGGTTCCACAGACTGCTTTCCTACTGTGTATTTTAGCTGAGGGAAAAAGAGCAGGAGGCAGGTAACTGTAACTTAGACGGCATGAATAACTTCTCACAGTATCAAGTTATCTGGCAGGATAATTCTTTGAGGTGTAAGACCTGATCCCAGCCCTGCGCAGTCTATTCAACGGTCATTTTTCAATCATTCCTTTACTATTTGTACTGGGACCATCCACCTGTTTTACTTGTGGATGGTTTATTCAGTCTCTGTGACCACCGATACTTTGCCTTTTGCTATCCTAGCATAAAAATTTACTACTTTTTATTTGGAAAGAAATGAGTGCTCAGCTCTCACCATGTTCCTTATGTTCCAGGTGCTCACCTTGTACTTCACTTTTCTGTGGCTTATCGGTAAACGTTAACAACGGTGACCTGGATCGCTGTATAACAGGCAAGGTTGGGTCACTGAACGTTATGGTATCTTTTCCACCTGAAACAATCGAAGCATCAGAACCATTAATTCACCAACTACATTCTTTGTGCACTAATAATATTCAAACATATCCCAGAATTTTCTTGCAATATTGTTGAAAAGCGCAGAACAGGAAAAGCATCTCAAACGATCCTTCTACAGCACGAAATAATACTCAGTACTGGAACTGGAATATACAAGTCAAATGCAGAAAGGGTGTATGTTTTTACCCACAGTACTGAGCAAGGGACAGATTTTGAAAGAAGACCAGGTGCTGTATGCAGCAAATTGTATCAGCAATTAACATTCAATTCAGAATATTAATAGTGAGATCGTACCAAAAGTTTTACAAAGAGTAATGGATCATTTGAATGCTATTACCAGCAAGTGTTCAGCACTGACTCTCTAACTCTGTATTACTCTGCCCCAATGATGAATTCACTTGTATCACATACATCGCTTTACACTACAGACTCACATACGTATTATCCTACAATACTCCCTTAAAACAACATATTAAAAGCTTAGCATAACTAAGAACTGAGGGAGCAACCAAGTATACATTCCCGGGGAACAGAAAGAATTTTAATCTGAAAATTCCCCAAACATTTCTGAGCATTTTCATTTTAAACCAAATGGAAAAGGGCAAATTTCCAGCTCTTCTTGCAGACAAAATAGCGCAAGAAACTCTTCAGCTGAGGACCCTGCTGGAGATGCCTAGTCTTTACGTATTTTAGCAATACAGAAAGCGACACCTGCAGATCCTTTAGGAAGTCCTCATGTTTCTAGTGACTGACACTACCTTAAACCTAGAGGGGAAATGGCAGGAAATGTGCAAGATCAGCTGAGCGTGGTGTTTGTGCGGCCTCCAGAGCAACTGCCAAGCGATAAGTAATGGCTGGGGAGGCAGGAAGCTACTGCTCTATTTATCTCCATAAGAATGGACATTTATGCAACAACCACTTCTCCCCTCTAAATCTGCTTGTACGTTTCACCTTAAGGCAGCATCCTAAATCTAATCACCCATCCAAGACAAAGACTTTCAAAAGAGCACCAGGTCAGGAGACACCCAGAATAAATCCAGCTCTGAGAAAGTTCTGGTACCTGCTAAGAAATAATGAAAGTCAAGCTGTTCCCATGAAGTCTAACTGGACTACTCCAATCCCTAACTACCTTTGAAAGCACTGGCTGTAAATACCTTGATCCTGAAGGTATTAATGATATTTTTATATCCTCAATGTGTTGGAGTATATTCTGCAGCAGTATGAATGCAATTAATGCTTTTGAAACGCAGATCTTCTCAAGCTTTGATTCTCCTGCCTAGTATGCATCAGAATTCTGCCTTCACCAGAGCAAGTAATAAAAAAAAAATATTAACTAATATCACAGTGGAGAAGTCCCCCAGCGTAAGGCTAAATTAATTAGAATGGAAGAAAAGAGGCAAACCAAATCTGATGGTTATTTCAAAATGCAAAAGTCCCTAGACAAATGCACTTTCCTGTAACAGCAAAGGAATTTTGTGTTGGAAGAACTAAATCATACAGGGAACTAGTAGTGTGAAAACATCCAATAGATACTAATACACAGTCAAAAGTAGCCACATATCCAAAAAGATACAAACGAATCCAACAGAGGAAGTAAAATTCAAAAAGATCATGACTAAAAAAATTGCAGGGGGTGGGAAGCAGCTTTAACAGGAAAGTATAAACCAGTGTTTAGGGTTTTTTTTTGCGTTTAAAAAAAAAAAAAAAAAAAAGGAAAGCCTGGGTTTAAGTCCCTGAAGATTGCAAGACAAGCTTCAAAAAAAGAAAATTCTTGACTTCCAGCCAGTATTTATACAGTAAACACGTTTACTTTCACATTTTTCTCTGAAAACCGACTCAGTTACAGAAAATATAAGTAAGCTAAGTATCCACACATCTAAGCAACAGATGTGGCCCAAACAGTCTGATGCATATTTATCTATTAACAGCGACTCACATCCATTCAGGAAGGAGGGACATGGGGGTACTGCTGGGCTGTATTCTGTGAGTTATGACCTGAAGTTGGATTACACAGAGAGAATTTCAAGTAGCTGCCACATAAGCTCAATTTCATAACTTACACAGCTTTGTGTTCCTCTAATGAATTTTTCAAGGACTTTAGTGAAAAGTATACAGATCTCAAAATAAGCAAACAAGTAAATTTTCTTCTCCAGGGTTGGGTATGTGTTTATAACCTCTGCTGCACTCCATACTGCTCTAACAGTCAGAGCAGCTGCTGAGCCCATCAGCTCCACGCTGAGGACTGCAGAGCAAGAGGCAGCGCCCAAAGTTTCTCAGCATCCCACGCAGAAAAAAGCTGAGTCATGGTCAGCTCTTTCTCTGGGCTTTTTTTCAGCAGAAAAGTGGAAATTTCAGGAAATTATAGATTTTTTTTAAAAGTACAAAATTATTTATCTGAATGTCTAGTGACATCAAATTGTGGGAGGAATAATGTGGTGTTTGCTATGTACTATTACTGAATACACTTAACACATTACGCATATATGTCTGAGCCACAATGTACCCAAGAAAAAGCAAAGAATTAAGTGCTTCTGTGAACACTGCATTCTCTGCTTCCTTCTCAAGTAGGCTTATTAAAAATATAATTAAAAAATCAGAGTTAAATCCACACCCAAACTTGCTTTCTTTTCAGCAATGAACCTTGCAAGAGATCCGTTTAATTTAAGTCCATTTTCCAAAAAGGGGAAGCTAAAGTTTGTGGTAGGCAGAATTTCTGCAGAAAATGAACTATGCTACCAGCTCCACCATTTCAAAAATTAAATATGCCCTTTCTCTTGATTTAGTTTCCCCACAGTTCACTTCTGCATTGCTCAAAAAGCAGATGACAAATATGTCACCTAACATAAAACTGGAAGCAGTCAAGCTTTTTCTTCAATAGGAAAAAGTTTATTAACAGCATTTATTAATACTATTTGGAAAATATTAATAACATAGTGACAGTGGATGTTATAAATGTTATATGGACAATTATGTCTAAGTAGGAACATTAACTTCAGATTAAAAACTTGAAATTTCTAATGTGCGTTTCTTTCAGTGATAGACCAAACACTGGCTTTCATCTGCTTATTTTTTCCAGTGACAAGAAGTTCAACTCACAACCAAATGAGAATTTTTTCTCTCTGGATTTAAGACTGACTAGATGAGATACTCCCCATGTTCTGCCCCTCACCCGGGCCAATATTCAGCCGCAGAGTCTACTGTGGTAGGTCCCACACTGTTTGTTACGCGCTGCTCTTTTATGGAGCGGAAGCTTTCCACACTCTGAAAACTGGTGACCCTCTGGGTGTTGCAAGGCTCTTCCTGAGCACCTTGGGTCTAGAGGGCACTTGGAAAAAAAGTGCACTCTCCATTTAAAAGGCAAGCAGAAAATCAACAAACCTTGGGGCTCAACAGAACTTGTAATCCACTTTAAAATTCCTTTACAACTATTTAAGATCACCCTTTCTTACTATTTTCGTCAATTTAAAAGAATTGCCTTGTAGACCAGCCTCTAATTCTCTTGTGGTCATCTAACTCACTTGGCTGAACGTCTTAATCTTCTATATCTGATATAAAAATGTTCAGATAACATATCTGGTTATTTACATGCAGTGACAGTATTTAAAGTACCGCTAAGAACAGTTACTAAAAATATATGTTAAGCAGAACCTACTCCCAAATCCCACTGAGACATTGTAGCTCAGGCCTTCAGGCAGCGGAAGAAAAGAAGGAAAGAGACAGTTATTATTGTATAAACATTAATTTGATGTCTTACCTACATAGATGAACAATGGTGCAAGAAGTTCCCACTGTTCCACTTTTTAAATACATTTGGCAAAGATTAGAAATGCTGCATTTATTAGTACATGAATTTCACAGAACGCTATTTTGGAAAAGAACCCTACAGTTCCTTAAACTGGTGAGTTTGAGAGACACGTTTGTACTAATGCACAAAATCGCATTAGCAGGGTCTTAGACAAATATCCCACATCTTTAGGAGAATGGGGAGAGGGACACACTGCGTATGTGAGGTGACTAACTGAAGAGTCATCCGTGGAAACTAATTTGGGACCTTCAGATCTGGAAAGTGTCCAGTTCCAGAAAGGTGACCGAGAAGGCCTACACCAGGCGAGCTACAGCGGAAATGCACCACGTCAGGCCAAACAGTCGAATAATGTGGGTTTGTCACAGGGTCTCTTCAGCTTTGTCAAATGTTTTCTTCTAGATGGAAAGGTTAGGTGGAAAAAACACAAGAGAAAAAAAAAAACTAGGAGCCTAAACCCCACTATCTCCCACCCCCAGCAGCACTGACAGGAAGCCGTAAACAACAAAGCCTAATGATGCAAACACCAGCAATGGAGGAGCATAATTTACAGTGGTTAAAGAAGACACAATTAGGTGTAATGGGAAGAAAAGGAGCAAAAAGGAATTGTAAATTAAATATTGCACATTTTCCTAACAGCGAGGTCTATTAGGAAGCAGATTAATCTCCCATTACTTGAGTAATTCAAAACCAAATACAATACTTAAGATGCTACAGGGAATAAGCCTGTTCTGGAGAGATGGACTAGAAAATTTAAGATCATTTACATTTCCAATTTCTCAGAGTTTATGATTGTACAGAAAAACATTAAAGATACAGCAATAAAATCCATAGAAGTTACAAGAAGTACAAAATTAATAAATAAAATTTGTTGAAAACCATAATGGCCAATACTCTGTATACCATTTTATACAACTGGTTCCATAAAACAGTTTCCTTTTTTGCCTGCAGACTATGGAGACATTTTGATTATTTCCAGTATTTAAAACTTTTTTTTTTTTCAGTATACACGTTTGACTTAGAGACTATGGAGATCTTTTGATTATTTCTAGTATTAAAATTTTTTTTTTTTTAGTACACACATTTGATTTAGAGTTTAAAGAGTCTAGTGATTTTTGTTTTCAGCTTAACATTTATTAGAGGTTTCAAATTTCACAAATGAGCTGAACAGCACATTGGCAAACCAACTGTCATTAAAAAAATTATAGCCAAGCTTTTCTTAAATGCACATATATCCTTGAAAACTAAATAATGCAAACTGTTCTCTTGGAGTTTTACTAACCTGGAAGACTCCACAAGCCAGCAATTTCCAAAGTTCTTAATTTCTTTTCTAGTTCTGCCACTCGGTTACCTAGAATTCTTTGGAAAAAGAAAACAAAACCAAAAGCCAGGGATAGCCAGCTGAGTTGAAATTCCTTGTTATGCTAAGGTAACCAAAGTGCAACTGCTTACATGACTATAGCTGAATTTTTAACTTGTTATTTAACTAGTGAAGTAAAACCATACACAGGCATCTCTTTTCACTAATGGCAATGGACAACCTCCCCCAGAGTTAAAGAAAATGAATCATAGAACAGTTTCAGTTGGAAGAGACCTTCAAGATCATGGAGTCCAACCTTTGTCCCAGCCCTATCAACACCACTAAACTATGTTCCTCAGCACAACATCTACCCATCTCTTAAACACCTCCAGTCTAATCTATCCCATAGTTTTTTAAAAAAAAGAAAAGTCTAAGATGTACTGGACATTCAACATTTTCCCTTCAGTAAAGACAAAGAACAGCAACTCACAGTATGTCTATTTCCTGACCTGCAAATACCTCTTCAAAGTTACTTTTACTTTCTCTACAGCTAAAACCAGAAATAAAAGCTACACAAACAACATATGGAAACTCAAGACAACATCTATATTGGTTTTGAAGTTTGAAGACATAATTTTGGCCTAGTCCTTTATTCACAAACGTTTCTCTATAACCAAGATTGCTTAAAATGTCAAGAAATAGCTTTACCACTAGATCTTTTCTTTTAGTGCTGAACTCTGTTTTATACTTCACTAAAAAGCTTCAAGCTCTTTAGTGTCTTTATCTCACCCACTCTTACTTGTCACTGCATTTCTTGGGTCATCTCTTCTTTTGTATCTGATTTCTACACAAATACTATTTGCAGTTAGCTCTCCTACAGGATTTAACTTTTAGTCTCAATTCTCTCCCCAGATCAAATGAGAGATTTCTATCTTGCAAAGAAAGCTCTTTTTTCCAATGAATTTTTGAAAGCATTTCTCTCACAGGCACAGCAAGTCTCCTAGAGTCAGAAGCCTTTAAATAAATCCCAAACAATACTCAATAGAGTGAGAAACCGAGACGAGGCAGCATTTCTACACATGACAGCAAGAGATAATGGACAGCAAGTTTTCCTCATCAAATTACAGCAACAGGATAAGTCAGTTAAATTTGAACTGAACGCTGAGAAGCAGCATATCACAACACAGTAAGGCAAGAACACCTTCCCGTGCTCACTAGAGCTGTGTAATGCTGCACTGTGTGCTCTCCAGCAAGGGTTTTAGCGCTGTAGACATTCGAGTATACTGAGAATGTCATTACTGACAACATGGCAGAGCCTGAGAAGGACATGGAGAATAGCAAACCCCACAAATATCAAATGGGCTAGAAAAATCGATAAACAAGGACTAAGCATTTTTGAAATCTCTACTGTGAGGGCTCTGCAATGACACAATAAAAACTTGTAAGTATTCTGAAGATTACAAAAAGATCAAGATGAGAGACAGAATGTAAAAGGGAAAGAAAAAGAAAGCACTGAGAGGTACAGAGGTGTATATCAATTAAACGGCAAACAGTCTGTCACATTTACAAGCAGAGGAGAGAAGACATTTGGGTGCAGTTATGTCTGAAACTCAGTAATCAAATAGGCTCCCAAGGTTATGATGGGTCTATTGCCATCTTCTCCAATTACAATCAAAATTGTTCTAGCCTAGATTTTGCTTTCAGAATGCTTCCATCTGGTATGAGAGACTCAGCCTGAATAACTCTATTTTCATATTCCAGCATACAGCCCAACATCCAGCGGCTGCAATGTGCAGCACGAAACAACAGGTGACAGAGAAAGGCGCTGAGCAACTTTGAAGTTGCTTGTGTACCTTGTGCACAGAGAGCTCACTCCCATGTCCCCATCTAAGACCTCACCAAGGGTCAGCTGAAGGATGTGGAGTTCCCCCAGCTTAGAGGGGCAGAGATGCTGCAAGACTTGTCTGTATCATGGGAGCTCAGCCAGGGAGCCAACAAAACAATGTTGATATGGCCAATGATTGTCACCACAAACAGGTCACAAGTTTAGCATTTCTGCCAGGGAAAGAAAAAACTGTTATTGTTTTCATAAGTAGCTCACCAGTAGTTCCAGGGCAGAAAAGGGGGGAAAGATGTTGCGCTCCCTGTCGGCTAGGACAGAAGGAAACTCAACCCTCTGCATCAACTTCACCTACTGCTACTGCTCTTGTTACTCAGACAACAACAGCCTTGCTTCTCTTAAATTTTGTAATCCATTTATCAGCTGTACCGCACTATTTCTAAAGGGTTTGGAGCAAATATATCCTGATAATTTCTACTGGATCCTCAGAAGAGGCGCTCAGCTATTTTTTAACCTTCTCACACAGAAGGATCATTCTGCAGCTCTGAACAATGGTTGCTAAAAGAGAGGACAATACTTAATCCTGCTCCTTTCATTCAGGACGAGAGCAAAATAAATTCAGTGATGAGCATGATTCTGGTTTGCTTCAAACCACATTATCTGAAGACAGGTGTGGGAGAAATGAGCTCTACCTAAAGCTGCAAGTTCTTACAGAAACATTGTGAAAAGTAAATGTGTAAGCAATCCTGAACACAGCATGGTTTATCCTGTTTCTTCCCTTCCCCTGTGACCTCCAGATAATTTGCCACCTCCACATGTGCAGTGGGAAGACTGAGCTGTGGTGGCCTGGAACAGTAGGTATGTTAAAGGTTGTATTTTTTTGTCTCTAGCCATAGCAGACCAGATCCTTCAACTAAAACAGAGGATTATGTTACGGACAAAGGTGCTGAGAGCAATTTCTCCTGTCCTCTGGTGCTGTGTCTAATGCAACAAGGAAGTTAGTTTAAGCCTCCCTCCAGGTTTTTCAGGAATCTGTTATTCACGTAACAGCAATAACGCTCCCACCTAAATTTAGAAGCTCCCTTCTAGCTCTCCCATGCTTCCCAACGTACACAGTGGCCATAATCTGAAGGGAGCTGTGCCAATTTACAGCACCTGAGCTCTGTCTGCATTTTTAACGTAGATCGCTTACAGAAGACACATACCCTCATGCAGATAGTCACACAAATGTCTCCAAATAGGGTCTGTCATGGTTGTACATCTCGTTCTATACATCACACGGAAACATTTACTCAGTTACAGACTGACGCAATCGTTTTTATAATTTTGGTCATGACCAAGCTTGTTCAAGTCAGAAATGTTAAAATTAGTGCAGCATCTCTAAGCAGCAGAGCAGCTTCTACACTGATCTGGCTTGCATGGGTGCTGGCAATTTTGGGAACAAATTGCATTAAAAAGAATATATAATAAATAGTTTATTGCTGGCAGAAGAAAAAAGTTTTTATTGACTTGCTAGGCAGGGGTAGGACTGTTTATTTTTGCATTTATGTAACTATTCAATCTTGCAACACATTACTGCATACAGAATTCATTTACAAGTGCCTTTTCAAATTAAGCTAATGTGCTTGTGAGGAAAAACGCAGCACGTTACTTAAACTTAGCAGTAGTAGCTACCAATCACCTGGGGAAAATGACCTGTTTTCTTCCCAAACAACTTCTTTTTCTTCTTTAAAGTGGGGCTGAAAAAATAAAGGCTAGATTTAGCCTATTTGTTCCTAGGCACATACTCCCACAGCTCCCTTTTATCATGCCACGTATTTAGAAAAGCAGCAATAATAATAGTGTGCCTGTTCCAAGAGCAAGTGGCAGCGGATGTTTTTAACAACAGCATAACCACAAGAAGTCAGCTTCAACGGTACATCCAAATTCTAATCTACATAAAAAAATAAACTCTACTGTTAATCAGAAAGCAAATCTACCACTCTGCTATTGTAAATGTATATAGCCGCATCTCAACATGCAAGCAATAAAAGAGGTTTTGACGTTAGGGTAAGTTAACTGTCTGGAGGAAACTAAGTTCGAATGGTCTTGCAAAGCCTCATTTACTGATAATAGAATCACTAATAAGGCAATCATCTATCAAATACCAAAGGCAGAACTTCTTCCCTGAATAAAACAACCACTTCAAAATCTCATGTTCTTTACCCAATAAATCTCACTTTCTTCACACAACAATCTCAAAGAGTAACTGTGCCTTCTTAACATGCTCTTTGTGCAGCAAAAGCCAGGCCAACAGAACAGAGAGGTGAAAGACTTGAACGTTCTGGTTTATGTAAAACCTCTTGTCATTACAATTCTCTTTAGTTTCACTTCCTTCTCAACTCCCTGCTTTGAATAGAGAAATGTCTTCAACAACAGAATGCATCTTTTACTAGTACCAGTTTGTGGACATGTCCATTTTACTCATGCACTGACCTCATTCTCACTTCTAACCTTCTCCAACAGGTGGGCAGATTCTTCCTCATTCTCAGAAGTCATCATTCTCTACATTTTTCACATAGCAAAAAAGTGTCCCAAACAACCAGCAAATGCAAATTAAGGATGGTTTTCCCTGCTGTTCTACCTGCATTTCCCTTTTTCACTGTAACTCTTGTGCTTCGGCTTCAAGTAGTTCCCATTCCTCCCAGCTCCTCAAAAGCTTCTTTAATCCAAATAAAGCCAAAAGTGACAAAAAGAATGAACGTACCACACAAGAGTGTTGCTGAGGCTCTTCAATCCACTTGGCCAGAATTTCTCTTTCTTTTTTTACCTCCGTGAAGCATCCTCAGTTGAATACAGAACTACAGCTCCTGACTGGGGGCAGCTGAATACTCACTCCTGACCTGGGAGCATTGCAGACTGTCACCTCCAAGATCTGATTATCTCTTGGGCACAGAATACCAGTTTCTGCACACATCCGATCTCCACTCCTGTGGCTATATATAACCAGTTGGGCACACACATAAAAGAATCTTACCTCCTTATGAAAACCTATCTCAAGAAAATCTATACTCAATAACTGAAAGCAGCGACAGTGGCATCAGAAAGTAAAGCCATGTGATCAAAGAGAGGTACAAAATTCAGAAAGACATCTGCTATACTGAGAGTATGCAAGCTAGAACACCAGGTAATGATACACTATCAGGATGACTAAGTCAAAGATTGGTTATACCTGGAATAACAAAAATTGTTCTCTGGATGTTTTCCTTCTGATGTTACATTAGCAGTAAGAAGGGAACAAGCAGGTGTTGGCCCTTCATTAGCACTGCTTGGTGCTGCTCTTGTGTTACATGACACACTTACAGGCACGAATTAACTGAGCTGCCATCAGATCTGGGCTACATTTTCACCACTTAGTCTTCCTTTAGCTGATTAGGCATTTGCTTTCTCAAGAGTATTAAGAGTGGCTATAAACTGCTCCTCCACTTCTGCTGCCACATCACTGAGAATTATGCAATGGAGTCTGCCCAGTATCAGAGTTATCAATTTTCAAAATGAATCATCTATTCTAGTGCAATACAGTTTACTTCAGTACTACTCTTTCCTTTCATGAAAGATGTCTGCCTGTTTCTGGCATCTGGTCCTGATGTGCTTTTGAGAAGCCTGAATAACCTCTGATTACCAGTAGTGACTCAGTGATTATTAAAAAAAAAAAAGAAAAAGAAAAAAAGGAAAAACCCTGAATACAGTATCAAGGAACACTTTCTAGCTCTGATTTTCATACACTGTATAAGACAATAATATCAGAATATCAGAAAATGTGTCAAAAATGATTATACTCTGTCATGACATGAGCTGTGCAAGACACAAAGAACTCTACTGATGAGTAGAACAGCTAAGAGTAAACAAATGCTCCTTGAAAGTTCAGTTCAGATTTAAAAAAAAACCCACAAAACACACAGTAGCAATTCAACTGTTTCTATCTCTCACAACTTTTGGCAAGTAACTATAGGAGTAGCAGCTATCATTTGTACAACACATAGGCCACCAGCTTGTGACAAATATTACACTAAATCTTTTCAGATCCTTTCCTAGGTACAATATTTACTATACCTACTAGTGTTCATTAGCAAATTCCTACTTTAGCAACCAATTATCACGTATCTCCTCCTCCAGCCCAAGGGTGTCCTTCCTCCTGGCAGCTCTTCTTCAGCCCTCCCTACAGACCACCTGCTAGAAGTCCCCCATATTACCACGGTTTGTCTTAAACCCGAGCAGCAAACCAATCCCTGCCCAGCAGAGGCAGACAGGACTCTGTCAATCCCAGACTTTACTTTGAAAATGTAGTTTTTCTCTGAACACATAACTGATCTAATCAACTAAAGAACCCACCAGTTGACAATGACGATGAATTTTCTGCGAAAATGGACCTTCCTTCCCCTTTCCCTCAAACTCCCCCAAAACTATGACTTTTGCTTGGTAATTTCTATTTCACTTAGAAGTCATGCTACCTACTTGTTGGTTTGCCTTTGGTGTTGTATGACCATGTTTTTTTCATGGATAGTTTCCAGCAATGCGGTGGCCAGTGATTTGAGATCTGAAATGGACTGTGGTGTGGCTGGTAGGCTACATCCATGATCCTCCGACAACAACTCCTGGACTATAATGTTAAAAACACACATGAGTTTTGGCTTCACATGCACAGAGATGTGACACAAACATTTACTGAGCATTAGAGAATTACCCTCATTACTTAAATGAATACTTATTTTCCTCTCCTTCATTAAACAAAGCCAAAAGACGAGAAATACAATCTCTAGGTGGCATAAAAATGGGAGCTTTCTAAGATTATTGTAATTCCAAAGCAACTGCCAGAACAAGCACAGGAAGACACATGTTATAACAACTTAATTCTGTTTTTAGAAAATTATTTTTGTTCAGAACAAAACAAACTCGTTCTTCTACAGGCCTTTTTTTGGTAAAAACCAGTCATTTCTCTCCCATTTATATGAAAATGTAAGCCCATAAGGAAGCTCCTATACTACTTTTTAGAATTATTATATCCATCAGCTTACTGAAGACTGATACAGTCACCCAATAATGCTTCCTCTGCAACTCAGGGCCTGTACTCAAACACAGCAGGAAGTTCACTAGTATCCTTAACTTCTGTAACTAGAATCTGCCTCTGCCTCTACATATATATGTGTGTGTGTATATATATATACACACACACACACACACACACACACGTGTGTGTGTATATATATATATATATGTACATGGACAAGAGGACAGAAGTCAAAAACAAAAAAGCAAGTTTCAACTTACCATGAGAAACACTACTGATCTCATGTACGTATATGAATACAACACCTAAAGAGTAGGGTGCCAGGTATACTGTTTAGCTCAAAGAATTTTCTCTTCCCCTTTCTTTCCTAATCTTTATATTTTCTTGGAAGGACAAAAAACAGATTACTCCATTTTGCTATTCATGAAGAAACATGGGACAAAAGAATTTCTTGCAAAACATCTGAAAGTAAAAGCTTCCAAGAATAGCAGCAGAAACCCTGATTTAGGGCCCCTCCTCTATCACCCAGTTTATTTTTCCTTGGAATATGAATTGTGATTGCCATTGTTGGCAGAGCAGAGATGAATAAAGAACTGATTTGTCAGGGTCAAAGATGCAAAAGGATTTAGAGATTTTTTTAAAAAAAGTATAAAACTGAAGGGGGAGAGAATGAATGGCAAAAGAGTAACAAAAGGAGAAGCAGTACTCAAGAGGAAAACATTGTATTGTCAAGTCAACACAGAAAAGGACAACAATTAGAACATAATAATAAACAGGAAATAGAAGAAAGATTTTGGTTGATGAGGAAAGGGTAACTGAGATGAGGAGTTAAGATGGAAGGAATTCAATGAGACGTGTAACACCATGCCGCATTTCTGTAATACCTTGCTTTGCAGACAGGACTCCAGTCAAAGCACTGCTACTGGATCTACTCTGAGTCTTAGAATTTCTTCGTCTCTCTAGTGCACTCTAAGGAAACAACAAACATCTTATTCAGAAAAACACTCCCCCCAATGTATTTTTAAAAGACTTGCCTGTTTAATAATCGGCTGAGCACCACTGAAGATACTGCAGTATCCTGTACAGAATAACAGCTGTGAAAAAATGACTTTTCCCAGCTTTTATTTAGATAGGTTTCAGAGGGAAAGCTCAAACTCCTCTATTACAGTGTCTCTAGAAGCCCTTTTATTAGCAAATACTGACTTTTAGGAATTAGATTAATGGAGTGTGCTGGGTTGGAAGGGACCTTTAAAGGCCATCTAGTCCAACTCCTCTCCAGTGAGTAGGGACATCTTTAACTGGATCAGGTTGCTCAGGGCCCCATCAAGCCTGACCCTGAACGTCTCCAGGGGTGTGGCCTCCACCACCTCTCTGGGCAACCTGTGCCAGAATGATCCTGCTAGAGAAGTCCAGCTCTTCCAAAACAATTGCATTTCTGTGATATCCACCAGATCACCAAGATGCTCCGTTCTCACTGATACTAACTCACAGTCCAAGAGACCCAAATCATAAGTACGAACAGACACTGAAATGGACTTAGCTTAAGATGGATATCTTCCCCACGAGAGAATCTCAGTAACTGACAGCCTTTTTTGTGTTATACTTTCACAAGGGTTTGTCCTCTCTATTAGTAGTCTAGAAAAAAGATTATTATATTTATGTGTTGCCTGATCTAGTCGACAGGTGGCGTCCCTGCCCATGACAGGGAGGCTAGATTCAAATGATCTCTAAGGTCCCTTCCAGCTTAGGCCATTCTGTGATTCTATGATGTGGCACCAAGCAGAGAAGGACTTCCAGCAGGCTGATCTGTTTAGAATCCAAAATAGACTAGAACAGAGTATTCTAAAATAAATTGTTCTAACAAATAAAAAGTTCTAGATAAATTTGAAACATTTTTATGAAACAAAGCTTCATAAAGTTGGGGTGTTGGGAGTTGCGAGCACTGTAAGTTTGAGGAGCTTTGCTCATGCCCCAAATACAATTAGTGCTGTGACTGCTTCATAGTGACCTAAATGGTTAAGAAGCCCTATTGACAGTCCTTTCTCATGCCCTGACAAGTAGCCTTCCCCTCTCACACCCCAAAATCACCTACAGAAAAAAACAGACTGCTTGATTTCAGGAAAATGCTAGAATATTTTGCCCTCTGAATTCAGTCCTGAAGGCTTCATCCAAAAGAGAGTACATCTTAACCCAGGAATGGAAGAACAAGAAGAATGAAGACTTAGAAGTCATTAAGACACATGAAGAAACAGTGCAGCCATTAGGGAACAGGGAGATGAGACTTGCCTGTGACAGCAACACAGCTGCAGTCATTCACCACACATGGCATGACCTGCTACTTTCCACCTACCAGCAGGCTGGAAGGCTGATCATCTTTGCCCTCTGAAGAGCAGGAGGGTTCCCCTCCCGAACTTTAAAAAGGTATGTGATTTTTCAAAATATTCTTAATGTCTATCCCTTCACACTCTATCAGCTAGGAAGCCTACAAGGAAGATTGAGCATGAAATATGCACACATACTATATTATCAGAATGTTAATAGTGGATTTTTTGTTGAAGGCCAAATTCTGTTCTTTAAATGCATTTGAACACGAGAAAGAACAATAATGTCCATGAACAATGAAGTACACAATGAACACACACACTGGGAGGAACTTACCTTATATTTAGTAATATTACACTTAAGAAGGTTGACTTCCTCTTGAAGTTGCTTTAATCTCTCTTGAAGATACCTGAAAAAGAAATGTAATCCTTAACTTCATGTTACCTTCAAGTACTGCCTTAAGCGCTCCTCTTTACTATTTGGCATGTCCTCTCTTTGAACTACTGAGAGTTCTTTTCCCTCTGCAGTTCTGCAAGGGATAAAATAACAAAATCTTGACCCCATAAAACTTTAAGTAGGGAAACAAGTTGCATCAGAAAAGGAGGCTGCCCTTCTGTTAGATTTGTCAAGCGTGCTGCACACCCATTTTATACCAGTCCTCAGGTTTTGGGGGAAGGAAGCTAAAAGGATGTATTTAAGTCTAGAGGAAATAGTCAGGAAAGATTTACTCGTGTCCTCGTACTTGAAGGTTTGTGAGATGGACACAGGAAGATTTGTATGTGTGTCAACACAAGACTCAACAATGCAGAACTTGTGCATTGCAATAGCCATCACTTACATGGCACTTTTCATTACAAAGCAATCACAAAAGTAGAAAATTTAACAGTATACTTGAAAAATGGTACAGAGTTAACTGAAACAGTACAGTTCTTCCTAATAGAGTTTATGCACTTGGATTAGACAGCTATTTCCACATAGGAAAATATCTTTTTCATGTAAAAAGGGTTTATAAAATATCCTCTTTCATGTAGTGCATCTGCAGCTGTATTAGTGTTTTCAACAATTTCACCATTTTAGAGAAAAAAAAAAAAATCATACCGCTGTCAGGGGAGCAGGGGACTTAAATCAATACCTACAGAATTCTGTAGGCCCTAAAGAACAGAAAAAATCCTGGAGCTGCTGGGAGGAAGCAATGCCTTTATATTACACTTTCCTACCTGAAGCGTAAGTCTCTGTAAATGTAAAGTGTCTTACAAGATCTAGTTCACTTTAAGGTAATTGTTGACATTTCAGGAGTTACCTGCTATGACCCTGTCAGTGACTCCTCTCTGTTGTCCTTAACAGAGACCATAAGACACAATTCTTTTCCCAAGGAAGTGGCAAGAAGATCTACATGGGCGATTTCACCACCAGCTTTCATTGGCAAATCACTCCATGTTAACAGCCTCTCCCTGTGGCGTGAATTATGTCTAAACGTGTTAGCTCAGGGTATTCAAAGTCCTTGTTTCCAATCCAAGATTGGCCCATTACAGCTCACTATGAGTTTCTGAAGACCACAATTTTTAATACTCTTGCTTTTGGTGCCATATAGTGATGGAACTAAAAAGGCTTGCACTTCTCTTCCTTTTCCTTGTTTGGATCTAATTGAGAGTATCTCTGACATCTCCAATGTAGCCAAATACATCAGTGATTTCCTACAGCCTACCTGTGTCGATATTATTTGATGGTTAGCTACAGTACAAACAAAACAGACAAAACAAATGACCAAAATATCTTAATTTTTGTTCTTTGATTTATTTTCTTTAAAGTTTTGTTGTGACTGACTTCCTGATGCTCCTGCTAAAGCAATACACTGCTTGTTTTAGGGTAACAGTTTGCACTGCACTCACCTGTTTTCCATACACAGAGCATCCACGTCGATGATACGGTTTTCATGCCCTCCTAAGACATGATTAAGTTCTTGGTTTAGTCTGTCAGACTTATCTTGGTAAAAAGAGCGTTCCTCTTTCACATCATGCAACTCATCCAGTGCAGCCTGAAGATCATATCTCAGAGCCTCGATCTGAGAAGAAAAGAGAGCTGTATGACTATTTTGAAATTTTTAAACGAAAGATTACACAGTGCCTAAACTGAAAACAGCAACAAGCACTTCCATGTCTGAACAGGATTGATTTTGGACAGTCACAAGTCTTTCCAAAGCTCTTAACCCCTGGTGCTTCTACTCTATTTCAGCATTATTTCATTAATTTGAAGTTAACTTTAGCAGTTAGACTTCTTTTGTAAAATTTCTAGAAAATAACCAAAATCCATACTATATTCCTGCTACAAACATATTAAGTTGGTTTTAGCATGTAATTTCTTAAGACTCCAGGAATGAACTCAACTGAGTAAGAATTTGGATGACGAAGAAAAAAATCTGTAATTGCTAATTATGGGACTTTCACCAATACATTTCCACAGAATAGGAAGAAGAACTGAGAAAAGTATGAAATAAGCCAGCATGGAGACGACAGGGCGAGCTTTACTATTAAATACAAGGGTGAATGTGTCCAGCATAGAAGACGTTCAAGAACAAAGAGCTTCAAACCTACACAGAGAGGAAATGGAGAGCATGAGAAAAGTCTGCAACGAGTTGAGAAGTCTCCACCGGCAACTCAGAAAACGCTGATAAGCCAGGAAGAACAGGAGACAACCATGTGACGAACAGAGAGTGCGTGAGCTTGGGAACAGAGGTACCAGAGAGAATCACATTGGAAGAAGACCAAGTGCAGTCAACTGTCCTTCTGGTAAGCTAAAATAGTGTTGCACTTGAGTCAGGGCTAAAAAACAAGAAATATGCACCTCCCCCTGGATCACAGAATGGCCCATTCAGGGTGGAACTGACGTTGGTAGGAATTAGTGTGGGAATATCAGAGAACACAAACTTCCACAATTGTCCAGAAAGCTGTTATCACTGTAATAAATTCGTTGCTGCATGATGCATAGTATTTATACAGACTTGAGGTAGGGAAAACTGATCTGATGCAAAAAGAGGGTAAAAAAGAGCTAATAGGCAGGAGGAAGAGGAGACTAAGAACACTTGTACAGAAAATGTGATTCAGAGAGTATCTTTAGGAGATGTATCAGCCACTAAATATTGTGTTGAATACTTATAACAGCTTTCACTAAGGAGTCTCTTTCACTGACATTCACTGACCATATTCAATTGTCGCAAATTGTTGCTGCACATTAAAAAAAGAGCAGAATCAATAATCTGGAGAGGAAATTCCTCAGATTAGAAAACTCACTCTAACCATGTCTGCATATTTAAGTTAGGGCTCAGTAATAACTCTTTCAGTAAAAATCGCAACACTTTCACCACCATCTGCAATGTTTATCAGTTACCAGCCTTCCAAAGACACCAGAAGCTGTAGTGTACTTGCTACTGCACTAGCTCTGTAAAACATGACAGATTATGCCCATTCAGTCATTACTTGTTCTCGAGCCTTCTCCAATTGTTGAACAAGGTCCTCCCGTTCATGTGCTGCAAAGTGGCGAGCCCCAACTTCATCATCTCCAAGTCTTTGCTTTGCTATCGTCATTCGAAGGAGCTGCGATTACAAAAACAGATTTGGTAAGCGAGAGAACACAGGCTGTAGCATCAGAGTACATCTGCGTTAGAAAGAGTAAAGCTGTCACAAATTTAATCTCTTTCAGATCAAACAGCTGCTATTATTTAAACTGGGGGGAATTTTTTGAGCTGAGGGCTCAACCGTGTTCTCTGTTAAAATTTTCATTCAAAGCATCAACAGGAGTTGAATTAGACCCTGCCACAATTGTCACCAGAGTACAGAAATGATGAAAGAACCAAGCAAATACCGACACGTGGTCAATGTTTCTTAGGAGTGACAGAAACTGATTCTGGTCAGACTAAACCTAGAGAATTCACAGAAAGCCATTTTCATTTGTAGATCTTAACATTTTCTGCAGCAGAGAACTCTTCCTAGTTAAGAATAAAAAGGCATGTAGTGGCTTGCCCAGCTTCATTCTACCGATATCACTTAAAATCCCATTGTGCTACCTCAGTGCAGAATTTGCATTAACAGCTGTTAACACATTTGCGTGTGCATTGTTCTTCCTCTTCTACTCACAAAAGTCACTTCATTTAAAAAACCAAAAAAATAGGCCAACCACAAGAAGACTTAGCCAAAATGCTCAAAGAGCTAACGAACTCATGAGCTTTGTGAATGCTGAAACAGTCTGACTTGAATTAATACACAATTATATTCAATATCCAAAGCAAAAAGCAACTACCTTTCAAGAATCAAGGAGCATTTGGAGCAATGGTTGGAGCATTAAAGTAATGCATTCAGTGTTACCTGTTTATATAACCAGGCAAAAGTGTTGTCTCCCCATGGCCTCATTTGTAAGAGCTCGACAGAGACCAGAGAAACTCAACCACAATAACCAGCCCGACTTTCTCCATATCTTTGACTGCACCAAGGAATTAATGTACATCATTATATTGCAGAGTTTGGGGGAAAATATAATCCATCTTCTGAAGTAAAAGACTGTATATAAAAATCTATCTTTGGTATTTATGGGATGCCAGTCACCATAGCTGCAACGTGCCAATTAAAATCCTGCTGATGCAAGACAGACTACCAAAATCAACCTCTCCACTTATTTCAGCTCCAGTTCAGTGCAAGTCACGGGAGCTAGTACAATGTGTTCTGATAAGCAGTTCACTTGTTCAGGGTAATCTGCACCCCTAAAAGTAACCGGTTTCGGCAAACTGCATTCCCCTATCCCCACAGGGAAAGTACAAACCACTGCACAGTTAGTAAGGTTGAATGGATCCTAGGAGATATAAATTCTATTGATTTTTTTTATCAAAACAAATATGTAAAAAAGGCAACTAGTAATTCCTGCAACGGCTTCACAGCCATGGGACTGTTTCTTTTAAATGCTAAAAGGCTGATGAACAAAAGCATGGTAACGTGATTTGACTTAATTCAATTAGATTAATTTCTAGAAACTCTCACTAGTGGGAAAGGCACTAAGAAACAAATTTTGAGGACTCAATTATGTTCAGAAAAACTGGAAACGGGAAGGGGAATCACCCTTTACCAATGCCTCCAATGCCTGCAGCAGAGCAAAAATTCTGCATTAACGCTCGGCATCAGGCTGGGAACTGGATCAGAGATGTGACTCACAGACTATGACCAACTCTCCTCCAGCCCAGGAGGGGGTGAGGCATAAGATGCAATTATAACTGCAAGTAATTATTACTTGCAAGGTCAAACAGTGTGCCAATAAAAGGAGAGCTCTTTATTTACGGCTAATTTTGAGAGGGAAAAAAAAAAGGGTATGAAGTCTTACGAAAACAACGCCTCAGAAATCCAAATTCAGCCAGTAAAAGCAAGCAGCATTATAAACATACATAAAATAAATACCAATCCATAAAACGACAGAGTGCTTCTTCCAGACAGTTGGCCAATCAGAGAGTTGACAGGGCAGAACAGGCCAAGTCCTTTAATTCTGCACTGTGAATGTCTCGTGAGGCAACACCACCTGCTATAAAATTCTTCCCTCAAAGTGCTGTGACCCAAAGAGACACTAAGTGTTATGCCAGAGGGTTAAGGGTTTATTTCATATATTAGTGGTTTATTATAAACTTTATACAGCTGCCCTCTGGCTGCTCTATTTTTATTTCTGTCATTCAGAAGTCACCGAGGAAAGGCTCACTCAACTTCATTTTGCAGCTAGAGAATTCTATGAACAGCATTTGCAGCAGAGCAGAGTTAATTTAACGGCACCTTACCAGAGAGAGCTCCTGTTTGTCAAGAACCCATAGATTGTTAACCAAAACAATCCAGTGGTACCAGTCACTAGTCTTTATTGTTTTAATAGCACAGCTTTTTTCCTGTTTTCTGTCAGCTAAGATAATTATTTATAAAGTTGCAACTCTGTAGCAGAGCCATAATGTCCCAAACAAGTTTCACTGCAAGAGCCACTGTGCAGGCTAGGAGTCCACAGACGATACCTGTGCCTAAGTTGTACATTCCTGATAACTGATAAAACACGCAGAAGGAAAAGGGACACAAGCACAACCAGTCAATTCTTCATGCAAGGCAGAAAACATTATGCTTAGCCACAGTCACTGACAGCAACTGTCTACACCACGTTGCCTATAAAAACTTAAAAAGCAGACCAGAACTATGCAAATTTGCTACCTTTAAGACCCAGTTCTGCCAAAATGTACGCACCACATTTAACATTTTGCACCGTTGCTGCATGAATGATTGTCTGCCTTGTACAAACAAACCCTCAGTAACACTGCAGCCAGTTTGCTGTGCACCTTCTCACTTAGTTTTGTAAGGTGTCGAGGGCAGTACTATTTCTTGGCGCGGGTAGGAATTCAAGTGAAGGTAACTGAGTCATCTGGTCTTCCAGAAGCCTACAGTTTCTCTCAGGCTTTCCGTTTTCACCCTTTGACACCAAAGAACTAGATTTCCTATCCTCTTCTAAGTTTCAGTAATTGTTCTCCAAACATTGCCACCAGAATGTCAGGATGAAAAAAGATTTACAAATAACTGTCATAAACATAGAATAGTTTTCATGTGTCAGAGCTGATCCGAGATTGCAATCAATCATAAAAACAAATCGTCTTAGATATCTGATGCCGGAACACTGCAGTCTGACTATCGCTGTATTTCTCAAACTGCAGCAACAAATCCTTCCAGAGACTGCCTGAAGATGTTTTATTTTTTGTGCCAACAGAATCTGAGCTGAAGTTAAAGGAAAAAATTAGTCCAGTTAAACCAAACGCAAGTAATTTGTTATTGCTTAACTGATGACGTACTTAACGTGATTTCAACAAGTAAAATGTGACCAGTTTAAGGTCTTCTTTCTAATCCAAGTGACTGTATCCTACTAGTAGCAAACATTAAAGCGGTGAAAAACAAGTCAAGCTATCAAAACAAATCTTTATCAATAGAGCTAATGTGTGATATTTAAAGAGTTTTTCTTCTTTTTTAGTCCTACAAAGCTCTTGCCACTCAGTGACAAAGCCTGCATGAGTCACCCCTGCTCAGACAGAGGCAGAATTGTTCATCCATAAGCAGCTTCACTTGCTGCAAAAGCAGCTGCTTGTTCATCTCTTGCCAGAAGTGAGGTTGACGTAGACCAGCTGGGCAGGATGCCCTCCCTCACTTTGGAAAAAGCAGAGAGAAGAATGCAGGGAAAAAATGTAAGAACAAGCAAATTATTATAGTTTTTTGGTTTTGTATATACCACACATTATCTGGACCCCAGTGCCTGAAGTAACCCAGCTGCCAGCACAGGAGAACTGATGAGCAGAACAGAACGGCAGTGGGAACGAGCCTAGAATATTATCACCAAAGCTAGGAGGGAGCAAAATCTGACACAGGAGGAGAGTGTTAAATCCCTCAGAGAGATGGCAGTGCTTTTTCAGGCACTTCAAAAAACCAGCAACCTGACTCTAAAATAAGCTCTATTTCTCATTTACTAGGAAAGTGAAGAATGTGTTCCAAAAATGAAAATCCTAGTCTAAATTAATCCCTGTCTGATGCAGTTCTTTCCTCCCCCTCTTTACATAGTGATGCACTATTTTGCACCTTTCAGAGAGGGGCACGGTGGGCAGACTAACTTTCTGTATTTTTCCATTGGCTATGAGGATCATGAATTTAAATTCACGCTGAGCATACAGATGTCACAAACACGACCAGCTAATATCAAATTAACCTGCAAAGGCAAATCTAAACAAAGCCAGTTTAAGCACAAAAAAACAGGCTCTGTGTTACCAAGATCATATTATTATAAGGAATTAAAAGAGGTACATAACCTTGCTATTCAGATACGTTGCAATTTTACTACATTTGTGTTCTGCTTGTACTTACAAACCCCTGTTATCTGTTCGGGACTGGCTTGGGAAAGGCTGTGTGGCATAACATTGGTACTAGAGAACTGCAAGGCAGTGTCTCCTACACTGTAATATAGTTCAAACTGTAACATGCAAATGAAAGAAAAACTGGGAAAGCTGGACTTTGAAGACTTAAGCAAGTTACACTGAATGCTATATGTACTACCAATTCAGGTCTCACTTCACCCAGATACCTGCACACCTTCAGGCAGGCTCTTTGTAATAAACAATGAATTAAACTGCATTATCACAATATACTTATGTTTAAAAGAAATTAAATAAAATAAAATTAACTTAAACGGAAAGAAAAAAACCCCACATGAATATTTAAAGGCTGCATTGTTTCCATTTATATCTTTAAATCCTGTAACTTTAAAACTGTAGTTGAGGGAGGGAAGTTATCATTCATTAGTTGTTTCATTTTTTACTTCGTTAACCACCTCGACTCTCGAATTCAACCTCTCACTAGTTTGATCTCTGAATGTACTTTTGCATACAGCTCCAGCTGTGAATGTTACACACATTTGGCTTGAGTTTAAATATTTCAATTAACAGAGACAACAGGAGCTTGATTAATACCAAATGGCAGATTTTGAGCAATGTTCCATATAACTTGCTAAATTTAGCAATAAAATAAAACGGTTATGTAAGGGTAATAGGATGAGGGTTTAACACAAAGTTCACTACATATATTTGTGATCAACAGCTCCATATTTTTGAAGAGAAAAATTATGCCTCCCGTGCTGATTTTATCATCTACTAAAATTTTGCATTTGCCTTGCAAAAAACCTGCAAATTATCATCTGATGAAGGCGTGTTTATCCGTACTTATTTGTAAAAGGTAATAACACTAATAAAATATATTAAACAAAATGTCCGAGATCATTAAAGCAAGTCTAGGTACAAAACACAAAGTTAAAGGACAGTAGAGCAAAAGCAGCATACAAAAATATATAATAAGCTGCACTGACCGATATCCTGTACAAGCTTCTTTTGTTCTGGTGTTTTGAGCATTTACTGTAATCAAAGTATTCTGAAAGTTCTGTAACCCATTGTTTTATTTGTTTTCCTCAGAAGTAATGCAAATCACCAGCCCAGTTTACACACTCCATGCTATTTACCAATAAGAGAATTTTATACTACCTTATTGTCCCCTTGTACTTCTCCCAGTCTCTGTTGAAGCTCTCTAATCTCTTCTCCAAGATGTTTATTTCGATCTTGAGCCTCACTCAGTAGTTGAGCAAGATTTGCCTGGAAAAGGAGTATCAGTCAGAACTTAGTGCCTACAGAGAGAAGTGTTAGTAGTCACTGAAAAGAAACCCTAGACTTGTTCCTTCTCTGCCAACAATCTTTACTTTTATTGTTGTTAGTACCCAGACTCCATGTTTCATTAGAGAGATACAAAAAAAGGTCACCAGGGTTTCTTTACTTTTAATAGTAGGAAATACATACAGCATGTGTGCATACACACTCTCAGAACAGCACACAAACCCCAAAAAAGACAAAGTGAAAACATCTACTCTAGCTCTGGTATCTTGGCTGCTGGGGAGAGCAAAATGTAGAGTACTTTGACAATATTTATACAAAGTTGCCAAAATAGTGGTTTTAAACTTGCATATAATTAGACAAAAGGCACAGCTGAGAAATAATTATGATATAATTATATTCCCTAATAGTGCTTAGAGCAGATTCCTAGCCAGTAAAGAGGATGCCAGCCAGAGTCTCTGCCCCTTTGTGGAGCTGTACCATGGATATCTATTAGCACAAAACTTCAAACATGATCTGACTTGTGTTGTTAGCTAGGCTGTAGACATCTAGAAAAACAAAGGTGAAGGCTAGAGATTAAAAACAAACAACCCCACCCCCAAAGAATCAAAAGTGATCACTCACATTAATCTACTAAATTAGCAGGGTGAGCTGTCTGGTCTGTTATTTTACAATTAAATTCCACCAGCTTGATCACTAACCAAAAAATAATGTAATCTCTGCTATCTATGATATCTGAAAAGGAGCAAACATGACAGATAAATTTAGAATAGATCATAGAATTATTCTATAATCTATTCAGTGTTCTAGAAATTTATTGCATTTTTACCCTAAAAATACCTCATGAACAGACAAACATTGACCCAGCGCAGGAAAAGTACACCAGTGGCATCGCTTCTAAGAGAGTTACAGCCAGGGTGGCTAATGCGCAGCCTTTCAAGACGTTGCCTATGGACAGCCTGGTGTGGCACTCACTGCCATCAGTCTCATAGATGAAATGAGCAGGGTAGATTTAGGCTGGATATCAGGGTGGTGAAACACTGGAACAAGTGCCCAGAGAGGTGGTGGAGGCCCCACTCCTGGAGGCATTCAAGGTCAGGCTCTGAGCAACTGATCCAGTTAAAGATGTCCCTGCTCACTGCAGCGGGGCTGGGCTAGATGGCCTTTAAAGGTCTTTACCAGCCCAACACAATCTATGATTCTATGAAATGAAAAAAGAATATTCAGTTCTTCAAAGCATGACTCCGTAGAGCCCAGTAAAGTTAGTATTTTCTGTGCTACCCTTATGCATGCTCTCTGGGCCAGCACATTAACTGACTGTTCCTACAGTCACTCTCTGGGTATTTTAGGTTTAGTTTTACATTCCCTGTTTGCTGTGCTTCTCTTTCAACTTCTCCATTTCTCTGTTTTGATACCCATTCTCACTACCATTTGACAGCCTCAAAGAATACTTTTGTGAGTTTTATCTTAAAAATACACTATAAAACCAACAAGGTATCTCATAGCAATTCCTACAATTTTTTCCCCTGGTTTGCTAACAACTGCTATTTCCACATATCCTGTTTTATATTTAAGAGAATTATTCACATGAATAACAACATGAATATAGCTACAGATGCACCTGACCATTTGCAGGATTACACTATAAAAGTATTAAACTATAACCAGCTAGAACTTTTGTACAGTACTATATGAAGAAGGCACTTCAAAATTCCAATTGTTCTGAAATAGCAATAGCTTTAAACTTTTAAACAGAAAAAAAAATATCTCAAGAACCAATATATCCTAATTGTTGAACAAGCCTAATTCACTGCTACAGCTTCTGTACTTCTGGTGCTCCAAGATCTAAGGTTCAGAAGAAAGTAAGGTAAATTTCCCACAGTTCTGGAAGAGATTAAAGCATTTTTTAAGGTACTGATAAGCCTAAAAACTGCAAATAAATAATTTGGGAAAAGAGTGTAATAGCAAAAAATGTACATAGCCAATTATAGGGCCAAAATTAAGCTGACTCTAATCTTATTTTCAAGACAGTAACCATTCAAGCAATGCAAAAGGTTCTTCAAGTATGCTTTGGCAGAACGATTTTTTTACTGCACATTAAGGAAATGTGTAACAGTCATTCATATATTGAATGAATCAAAGAGCTTCAGAACACATTCAGTCAATAGTTTTGAAATGTCCTTTTTAATGACTTTATTAAAGCAGAAACAAAGAACCCATGTTGCAGGAAACTGTATTTAAACTGAAGTATCTACGGCTACTGCTCATATGCGTCTTTTTTTTTTTTTTTTTTTAAGAAAGCTGATTTTCAATAAAGGCCTTGCACCCACCAGACTGAGCTAGTTAAAAGGAATATGATTTGCACAAACCTCTCCGAAACATTTCTATTTATAAAGTCCCATTTTATGATGAATTTTAACAACTAGCACTGCAATAGCACATGTAATTTCAACTCCTTGGAAGAACTCAGTCTCACTAATCAGTGTTTACAGCCACAACACCAGGATTCTAGCAGTCTGTCGTCAAAACCTGGCTCCAAGTAACTGCAGGAAAGGCATTACCATGCCTACACTAAATCTTCCTGCGCAGATTTATTTCCTTTAAAACCATTTCTCTTGGATTGCAATTCTGTACTGAATTTTATTTGTCAGTCATATAAATGACTTAATGTGACAAAAACCTTTACACCCGAGACAGGGATGTTGGAAGAAACTTTAAACGAAGAATTCTAGACACCAAAATAAAACAACCTCATTCAAGCATGCTAAGAGCATTACAATGAGCTAAGTATAGACTTCCTCCTTAACGCAAAGATTCCATTATACTTCTGTTAAACTAAAGCAACCAAGCTATACCACAGAAGTAGTCTCCAGCAATTATTCATTTCCCTGGCTTAGAGGTTCCATACAACGTATAATTTAGATTGTTCTGAGTTGTAAAGGTTTTGGCAAGACCTCATTAAAGCTTTCGGTTAAGTGTGCATAGAAGGAGAAATATTTGCTTTTCATAAGTGCTCTACTGGGCTTAAAGAGAGTCAGCCAAGAGGATACATTGAACGACACCTGGACTTGGTACCATTTCTTTGGCATATATACGAAAACATACCATATGGTTTAAAGATGATAAAACTAACAATGGAGGGCTGGATTCACGAACCTGTAAGCATGCATTTTTTTGAGGAAAGGGCAGAAAGCTATGCAAGAAGAAAGGTGATTCATTTTTCCACCTGGCAACTTCTTTTCAATATTCATAGAACAAACACAGAACTCACTTAGAAATTCAAGACAAGTTACTTGAGCAGACAATAACATTCATATCATTTACCCATGCAATGGAGAACAGCTCTCTGAAAATTAGCCAAATTCAGCCTCTCTAGACTCTATTTCTTCAACAGTTTCTTTTGATTCTAGGTGAACTCTTATAAAGGCTCCTGTAACTGCCAAAGACTTTACTTCTTTCACTCATACTATTCAAAACTAACTCCCAAGTACTAATGAGAGATTTCTGAGCCATGGCTACTGGGAGGGAAAGATGGACAGGTCTATAGCTTTCTGCTGCTTCATCTCATCTTGCCTCTGAAACAACGCCCAGCAGGGAAAACTGGTTGTTTCTCTTTCTCTAAATCCAACTGCTTATAATACCAAATAACAGCACTTCACTCAAGGCCCTGATTAACTGCCTGGTATCAGACAATCACAGAATCACAGAATCATAGAATACTTAAGGTTGGAAGGGACCTTGAAGATCATTTAGCTCTGATCCCCCTGCTGTGAGCAGGGACACTTCTCGCCCACTAGACCAGGTTGCTCAAAGCCCCATCCAACCTGGCCTTGAACACTTCCAGGGAGGGGACATCTACAACTTCTTTAAGCAACCTGTTCCAGTGCTTCACCACTCTCATGGAGAAGAATTTCTTCCTTATATCTAATCTAAATCTACCCTCTTGCAGTTTCAGGCCGTTGTCCCTTGTCCTCTCACTACAAGTCTCCATAAAAAGCCCTTCTCCAGCTTTCCTGTAGCCCCCTTTCATATATTGAAAGGCTGCTATTAGGTCACCCTGGAACCTTCTCTAGGATGGATAAACCCCAGCTCCCTCAGCCTGTCCTCATAGCAGAGGTTCTCCAGCCCTCTAATCACCTTTGTGGCCCTCCTCTGGGCCTGCTCCAGCAGATCCATGTTCTTCTTGTACTGTGGGCTTCAGAACTGGACGCAGTACTTCAGGTGGGTCCTCACCAGAGCAGAGTAGAGGGGGAGAATCACCTCCCTTCTGCTGGTCACGCTCCTTTTGATGCAGCCCAGGACACAGATCACTTTTTGGGCTGTAAGTGCATGCTGCAACCTCACGTTGAGCCTCTTGTCAACTAACTTGCCCAAGTCCTCCTCCTCAGGGCTGCTCCCAATCAACTCTCAGCCCAGCCTGTGTTTCTACTTGAGATTGCCTCAACCCAGGTGCAGGACCTTACACTCGGCCTTGCTGAACTTCATGAGGTTGGCACGGGCCCACCTTTCAAGCCTGGTAAGGTCTCTCCGGATGGCATCCCTTCCCTCCAGCATGTCAACCACTCCACAGAGTTTGGTGTCATCAGCAAGCTTGCTAAGGGTGCACTCTTATCCCACAGTCTTCCTGGAGCTTTGTTCACCTCTGGCAAGGCTCACTTCTGGTAGGTATTCTTGAGCCTCTGCAGCATGACAAGCTATTTGGTTTCTAACAACCTGTCCTGTGAAGCCTGGAGGTATCCCAGAACCATAGAATATCTTAAACTGAAAGGATCCCAGAAGGATCAGCAAGTTCAAATCCCTAATCCTTGCAGGACTACCTAAAATTAAACCACACGACTGAGAGCATCACCCAGATGCTCCTTGAACTCTGTCAGGCTTGGTGCCATCACTATGTCACTGGCAAGCCTGTTCCTGTGACATACTTCACCAAGAGCGTGGTCGGAGTTGAGTGAAGTCCAAACCCCCACTGCAGTACTAGACGTAAG